CGCTTTGATCTCTGCAATGAGCTGCTGCATCCCTGATGCTGTGCAACCGTCCCTCCCATATGGACTGGCATCAGAGGGTCGCTCAGCCTCTGGTTTACGAGAATTGTATTTGCAATGCAGAAGCTTCAAGTTGCAATTTTAAAGCTATTAGGACTAGCCAGAAAGCTTTATCTCATAGAGAGCTAAGAGCCCAGGCTTTCAATTGGTGTAACTATGCTGTATGCCTCATGCGTATGCAGAAATTGTTGTATTTAACAGCCATGATTGTAAAATATCTTGCTTTAAATTCATGATACCCTCAAATATAGAGTAGTTAATTTGGATTGCTTTTACAGGCTTTAACGTTTCAATGACAGCCTCTACGTGGGAACTGCAGCAACTTGGCTTTGTAGGCTGAAGAACATAGGGAAAAAAAGACCTTTAAAAGAAGCCTTTGAAAGTGTAGCAAGCATAAGTTTTCCCTATAGTGTGGCATAAGTCAGCTTCGTCCTGGTGAGTGCAAGGAGACAGGTTTTATAGGTACTCCTTGGAGGAGGAATGGGAATGATGTTGTTGCCGTTTGTGAACAGCTGTGCCACCTCCCCACAATAATGTTTGAGGGGACTGTCTCTCTCATGCTGTGTACCTATACATTTGTCTGTATGTATATACACTTTATTTTTACGATTATTTTTAGTTCAGAAAAAAAACCCTGCAACAAAATCACAAACATTTGTAAAATGTGATGTTTGTAAAAGAGTTTACATCCTTCAGCTGTCATAAAATTTGAATTCCATGCCACAGGTAATAGTCACTGTTTTAAGACAAACCACATTATCGAGCTAAATGAAAAAAAAGAAAAAAAAAAAACCACTTCAAGATGGACTGAATCTATCCTGTGAGCAAGCCTGAGACTTGATGTGCCTTACTGCCAGCATCACTCCCAGCTTTCTGCCTCTATAATTGCCATGTTCAGAGATGAAAGAAAAAAAATATCAGTGTGTACCTTTCATCCTTTTCTGTACATTATCTGCAGCTCTCACTTAGCTTGCTTCATGTCAGAAGATCATGCCATTGCTCTTTACCAGTTATTATTTTATGTAGCTGTGAGTTTGACAAGTTATGTTTTATGGCAGTGGGAGTCTTCCAAGACTGGATCGAAGCCAGCAGATGTTCAGTGATAGCCCTGTGCTTAGGCAAAATGAAGGGGTATCAAATAGATAAGAGGAGCATATTTGTCGACTATAGAACTAGCAGCACAGTAAATACCCAAAGAAATGGCAGGTGGATGAATTTTCCTTTTCCACACAACTGGCTTTACTCTGCTATAACTCTCCTGATTCTCAATGCAACTTGTCCCTCAGTTATGCCAGGGCAAGTGAGATGAGAACAAGCCCAGTAAAGAGCTAAGAAAGGGGAGCCTGGGTGTCAGTTTGCTTCCTTGCCTTCCTGTGAAATAATACTTCCAACTGCTTAGATCTGAATGAATTGACAAGAAATTGTTTTGAGGCAAATACAAGCCATGCATGGTAGGAGAAAAGACGCGCATTGTTAAGATAAGCGCACAAGTAATTAGGGCTCCTCTATACTCTCTAGGACACAAAGTGACCCGGCGCCTGGAGTTGGCAGGTGTGTGACCCATGGCTTTCTGCCTGCTGCGAGAGCTCATGCAGACCAGTGGGATGTCTGAATCCAGATCGCAGCCAAACTCTCCAGTCTAAGGTTTCACTTGAATTCGTGGCTATAGAGCAAGTTCTGTCCCTTGTATAAATAAGGTTCATGTACGCTAAGATGAGCCATTCTCGGAAGGAGGCCCATGTCTGAGCACAGTGGTAGCCATGCAGACCAGTGGCTGGTATTCTGACAATGACAGTGATCATCGAGCAAACAAAGAATTAACCTTCAAACCTAATTACGTTAACATTGCTGTTTCCTACTAAAGCTGTCCCATGGACATAAGATTGATTTCTGAATATGCAAACAATGCTCTTGTGTCTTTTGGGCAACTTGATGCCTTTTAAAAAATCACAATAAAAACAGCATTACACTGGCAATTGCCTAAGGAATGAGACTTCCTGGATGACTTGCAGAAATGTATGGGTCTTCTGCAAAGTGCTGGCTATTCTAGACTAAGATCAGTTTCATAACAAGGTCCTGATGCTTTTAATTATCTGTTTTGCAGATATTTGAAGTATAATAATATAAATTCTGAAGTAAAAAACTATTTTCAATGAGAAAACACTTCACAAATGTCAAATCTCCACAAATTTTCATTCCCTTTTTTGCATTAAGCCACCACAATTCCCAAAAATACAGTGGCAAATTCTGAAATGCACTGACAGAAAGTCAAAAAAGAGAAGACAAGTATGGATTTTAGGATATGTATACTAGTGTATCATGGGAGTGTTAATGGCCACTCTAATTAAGTCCTTAGAAATAAAATATCTGTGAGGACTGTGATTCTGCTCAGTTAGTATTTTCAGTATGACAAATTCATCCTTGGCATAATCCATTTGGTTTCAAGAATCAATTTTGGTCCATCATGATAAACAGGGCAAACATATGCTCTTACTTTTTAAAAGAATGGCTAGATAGACATGCTTTTTGCTATGCTTCCTAATCTACAGAAGTACCAAATCTAAAGACAATGAATAATTGAGTTAATGATGCTCAGGAATATTACACGTAACAGATATTTTACAATAGCTCTGAAATGTGTCTACTTGATTTATAGAAACATCACCACTTCCATGTAAGTCCCAGACTATGTGAGGGGGCATCTCTTGATAATAATGCATTCTGTGCATGCACCATTTGCTAGGATCTCACTTTCTTGAGTGAGATCTATCACTTTCACTTGATAGAAATATCAACTGTATGTTTACTTTTACTGTACCACTTGCCATTTACCATCTCACCGCAGGTCCCCAGGGAGCCCAATGTGCCCATTTTGGGCTGCTTGTTTTCAGCAGAGGAAGGACAATGCATCCCAATTAGCTCAATGACCACCCTCCAGCAAACACAGACATTTTCAGAAATGCTTAAGCTTAACATGTGCACGATGAAGGAGGGTCTTCCTTGAATATGGGGGCATGGCCTGGGAGACAGGCACAGCACAGCAGCATCACAGATGACAGCAGTACAGGTCTACCTGGGGAAGCAGGAGAGTGAGGGAGAGGAGCTGGCTGTGAAAGTCTCTCCCCTGGGTGTACGTGACCTGGCAGCGTGTATCTGGGGCTCTGCAGGACTAAGCCCATAAAGAAAGATGCACTCCACATTCCAAGGGCACTAGGTCTTCATCCAGCACAAAACCGCAGGGGCAATTCCCATGGCTCTGTGGAGCTGAACTGAATTCATGGGGCTCTGGGGAGAAGAGATGGTCTCAACAGAACCAATACGTAACAAGTGCTACTGAAATCATTACAAAGAAACAAAGCTAGGGAAATTGCACTGTTTGGGGTTTTTTTCAGAGGTTTTTTTTGCCTTGAGAGAGAAGGGGAGTGAGATCAGACCTATGTCTTTAATACTTACTTCGAATATGAGTTTCATGATACGAAAATGCTGTGACATACACTAGAAGTGACTTTCATATAGGATCTTTTTTTCCCTCCAAATAATCCCACAGAATATAAGAAGGATCTTCTACAAAATCCAGTGACAAAGCTAACAGAATGAATAAGATTTGATATTACAAGTTGTAGAGTATTAAAAGAAAATAAAACTATATAAATGATATTTCTATCTTTTTTTAAAAGCCTTTTTTTTTCAGGTAACCACTAGAAAATCTATCAGTATTTTTGTAGGGTTTTTTTTCCACTGGGACTTGCTGCTTGGGATATTGTAAGATGGCATTAATAATATGGTGCAGGTAAAAGAAGAGCTGCATTTAAGTACAATAGTAAATTGATGCATATTGAGTATATGTTAAACAACGGTCTTATTTTCTCATAAGCAACAGGAGGGTAGCACAAGTGTATGTGAGAGGAATTTTTGTGAATGGGCCTATTTCAATATAAAAGAAGAAATTTAATTCAACAAAATAATTCTTTATCTTCATACGTAATTAAAACACAGATTTCACACATTTCTTTAAGAAAAACAAAGGATGTTCCTTCCCACATACTGTTTTGTAGATAAAGACGCAAACAAGTAGACCATTTGGATGTGCATTTGAGGTGCAGACCCTCGTCCTTTTGATGTCAGTGTGAATTTTGACATGGCTTCAATATTGGATTGTTGATAAGGACCATACCATAGCCCACATGCCTGAAGTGCTATAACCACTCGCTCACAAGACCTGTTTATTTCCAGACTAGCTGAGCTGAACAGCCTGCACTTCGCAGGTACATCTGTGACTATGGACAGACTGGGCATGGACCAAAAGCTGCCAAAACATGTTTTGCATTGGTATATGTCAAAAAAGACAAAGCTAAATTTTATCAGTCATAGTCTCAAGACAGACAGACAGAATAAATCTCTCATTTTTGGACTGATAAGCATGGGAACCCTCAGTGTAAAGAGTAATCTTCTAGCAAGTTATTAGCACCAGAAAAAGGGGTTAGGATAAAAGTGCCTCCTCATCCATCACTCTAACAAGTAGAAAGCTAAAAACACATGAAAGAGAAAACAAGTTATGGGGGCTGGATCAAATGGAAAAAATATTTACTTCATGGAAATGTCACCTCTCCTCTCTCATACATTGCAGAACCTACAGGCTGGGAAAATTACTGTGTCCTCCAGCATATAAGATAGTACAGAAGAACATAAAAGCAAACCTCACTCACTGCTAGAAATATTTTGGGTCATCTGGAAAAGCTGAATTTCTCTTTGAGTGGCCTTACTCTGGTAACAAGAAAAGACAGTTAACATTTATTCATATGTTGTACTGATTAGGAAATATCTCTACAAACACAAGTTACTTAGAAACAGCAAGTCTGAAATAGGAGAAAACACCAAGAGAAAAACAAGCTGTAAATACATTTCAAAAGTGTGTTTGTTTTTTTCCTTTTTCTTTTCTTGACTAGCACCATCTGTACACAATAAAGTATGAACATAAATGTTTGGATAATAAAGATTTGCAAGGCACTTAAACAGTTTTTCTGGATAGGCTTTCTTTTAATGAACCTCTCAATGGAAGTCCTACAACCACCTTTCCTCCTCCCTCAGCTAACGCAGGGAAAGAAGCGTCTTCTGCCAGCAGTTCTTATTTACAGACATGTCCTTAAAGGTTCCTCAAAGTGCTCTTTTAGGCTAAGAGAATCAACAACCTTATATATCTCCATTTTTCATGCTCATCCTGTTCTTTTTAATACTACTCTTCTGTATAGCAACGCAAATCTCTCATACACACAGTTGAGACTTGACTCCAACCTTCATCCTCATTCTGTTGTCTTTGGGATGCTATTCAGAGGGGAAAAGGAGGATGGCAGAGATGCACATTGAAATTCTCTTGAGGTTCGTTCTTTATCGGCGTCTAGAGGTGATGTCAAAACAGGTGATCATCATGAGATGGGCCTTGCAGAAGTTGACACGGTTTTCCAAACGCTCAGTCACACATTCCAGGGCCTCAAGGTATTCCAGAGAATCCAGCTCAAATACCTGCTCCAGATCAACTGTGGGAAAGAAAACACACAGATAGGAAAGGCAGACAAAACCCAGTGCTGGTTGGTGAGAGAGATAGAGCTGGTTCAAGTCTTTAAGGCCATCAGTACTGTATACAACATTATCTCTGGCTTGCCATTGTCATCAAAAGTTGCCTTTTCTGTTTAATGGCTATTAAAATGGCACAGCAGCTTGCTGATAGTGAAGAATACTGTTAACATTGCATCAGATGCTTTCCTGAGTGATATGCTCTGCCATCCTCTCCAGAACTGCAGATGCCTTTTGCCACACTCCAGCATCGTTCCCCAAGAGAAGCCACCCAGAACTATTCTTCCAGCAATGACATGGCTCACTGCAAAGAAACCAGCTGGCACAAAACACCTGTAGGCTTCAGATTAACCTTCATGCCCATAAGGAACACACAGGCTGAACACGATGAGGAAATTCAGCTATAAGGTGTAAAACAGGCCAAGTTAGATCTGCTTACAATGAGTTTGATTGTTTGCATTCAGGGTCTGCTTCAGCACCATGCTTAAGCAAATTTTGAATGCTAAGCACATACTTAAAGTCATCCCTATTCAGGGCATGTTTATGAGATGTACTGACTCTCTCACATATTCTGCTGACCAGAAAGAGATTTAAATAGGTGCTCTGCCCTGGGAGGACAAGTCCTTTGCTGAATTCAGAACTCGGAGTTAGAAACCAACCTCCAACCTCCTTGCTCCTCACACCTCTCCCTATTCCACGTGATTCTCACTAGACCACTCAAGAGTGGCAAGGGAAGGCGCACACATCAATCACTCCAACACAGGTGCCTGTTTCCTGCCAGAGACCAGCTGGCAGCGGCTTCCGTGGAAGCTGAGTGTGAGATACGTTGTCTGAACCAGCACCTCCCATCTTATCTGGTCCCTGAGGCCTGTGCCATCCTTGAGGCTTTCTGCATTTATCACACTGGAATCAGAAGTAAAGGCATCACATAGTAAGTGGATGGCAATGTATGGCAAATTCTCTGTTCCCTTTAAATCTGTCCTTTTTACCTCTCTTCCTTAATAGCGTTCCTGAAACATATACCATGGTTGTTTTGCAGGATGTACCAATCTAGTGTTAACTTATGGGAGCTGTCGAAGGAAGAGTTACCATGCTTTAAAAGAACACACCAGCCAACCTCCTTTTGCCACCTGCAATTATCCTAAATAAATCGAAACTCTTTTTTTTTTTTCTAGAACTCTTTGACATGAACTCATCTGCTTGCTAATACTAAAAACTGTTGTACAATTACTGCAGTACTCTTTATCTTTTTTCCTTTGAGGTGCTGAGGTCCTTCTTCATTTGAATGTGAATGTCCTTTAAGCTCTCTGAACTTTACATATCTATAGTTATAAAAAAGGGCCAAATTAATTTTTCATGTAAGCCCACTGGTGCCAAGGGACAAGTTTGCTCCACAGTGTTATTTTGTGGTAGAAGAGCAGATTTATAATATTGCTCATATGTCTGAGTGATCTGAGGCCAAAAAAAAAAAAATCTCATTTTCAGGAGCTGTGGACTGAAACGCATGAACGTTAATCTACCAATGGCAATATTCACCACTACAATGCTGTACCATTTCAACATACAGCTCTCAGGCAAAAAGGATTGTTCAGTTCTACTGTCAACATTTAATAAGAATTACAGGGACTAGTTCTAGAAATACAGTCAATCTAAAACTTGCCCTTAGGTCATATGTCGGTTCATTTTAGTTTACAAACACAGTAGCTCACATCTCATTCTTAGCAAGTATTTCTGCTCTCCTCCATCCCCCTGCCATGAAATAAAACAAAGGACACCTATGAGCCCAGGCAATAAAACGACGTCCTTACATTCACTGAGCCATTTATTAGGATCCAGCATCAGGTACTGTTTGGTCACCTCCAGTTCTCTCATTAACCACTCGTACTTGGCCTTGACCTCAGCAATTCTCTGCTGGCGATGCTCCAGGATTTTCAGCTTGGCGTTGAAACATAGCACTTCCTGACAACCAGTAAAGAGAGCAGGGAAAGAACAGGTGAAGAGGAGAAGAAATACCCAGATCCATTCAGTCAAATGATCTTCCAATCAATAACACTGACAATAAACCATTTACTCTGGAAGCATATGAATCACTGCATGAAATCATCTATCATCTGTTTTATTTTTATTGCTTTTGTTTGGTTTTGATGTTTTCCATCAGTGAGCTTTGGAGACTTTGCAATGATAGTTAATAATAAAACATAATAATTAATAACAGGCAGCATCTTGAAATCAGATTAAATGTAGCAAAACATTTCTGTTTTTTGTCACCAGAAGTTTGGCTAAGAAAATCTAAGCTCTTGGGAGAAGGAAATCCATTGCTCATTGTATTAAAATCCTAAATACATCTCTGTGCTTGGTGCATAAGAAATGCAGTAGTCATATTATAAAATAAGAGAACCATAGCAATATCAAATTTAAAACATCCTTAAAGGGAATATGTTATGAAAAGCTCTAGCAATTCACAGTTATTAATAAAGAAGATATATTTTCTATAAAGATATGAGGCAAAGTAACAGCACAGGGTGCGGTGCTGTCTGGAGACACCCAGCCTGGCCTCGTGTGACTTCTGAGGGGTGGCAGTCATCAAGACATGCAGTAAGTGAGCCCCTGGTGAAGGCTGTGCTACCCTCGCTAGCGTGGGAGCATTCCCAATACAAGAACTATTCTCCTTTAAGGCCCTGTGAAGGTCCCTACCCTATTCTGCCTTCTGCCCTGTAGACAAATCTGCTGTGTGGGTTAAGTGCAGTGGAAACCCCACCCCAACAAGTGATGTTTTTCTCCACACAAAATCGTATCAGAGAACATCACAAACAGCCTAACCAAGTGACAGGGGCTAGGAAGAAGAAGTGCCTTAAAATACTAATAAAGTCTATATCCACAGTTACTGTAAAATTGGTGCTATTCCACCAACTTCAGATACTCTTCCCAACCATACCTCTCAAGAACTGACCTTTAACAATTCCCTGATCTTTTTGTAAATCTGGAGGCCTGCGGTTGGCAGGAACAACTTTGCTAGAGAGAAGACATTAGCTATCCTGAAAACAATACCATCAAAGCACTTGAGGCACCACTGCTGCCTTGAAAGACAGATGTGATGAGATGCTGGAGCAGAGGAACCACCAAGACTATAAGCAAGGGGCAAAAATGCAAGGTACCAATGTCCATTAGCTGCTACGGAAGAAGGCATCACTTGAGTCATAACTGCTTTTAAATGAGATAACAGGGTTTGCTGCCTGGTGAATTAACCATATACGATACTACACATTTCTGACTGCACAATCTGTAAGAGGGGAATCCCTCTTACACCCTCCAGGAGGAGGGAGACAGCTTACATGGATTGTACTCACCTTGCTGTCCCCACCTCGTCGCCGCTGGAGCCTCTCCACATCATCTATCTCATAGACTTTGATCTCAAAGGGCTCCCCCAGCCCCCTCTGCCCACTTCGCAGGGGCCCATCCACCCAGCGGACCCCGGGGCTGTTGGCAGGCTTCCTTGCTGGGGAAGCAGTATCAAGTGATAAAGCTGGAATAAGCCTCCGTCTCTGTGAACCTGCAAATGCAGAAATTGCCATTTCATGTTAGCACAGTGTCGTGGTTTAGCCCCAGCCAGCAACTAAGACCCACGCAGCCACTCACTCACTCCCCCTGCCCCGATGGGATGGGGGAGAGAATCGAAAGAGTAAGAGTGAGAAACACTCCTGGGTTGAGATAAGAACAGTTTAATAATTGAAACAAAATAAAGTAAAATAGTAGTAGTAGGAATAATAACAAAATAATAATAACAATAATAATAATATACAAAGCAAGTGATGCACAATGCAATTGCTCACCACCCGCCGACCGATACCCAGCCAGTTCCCGAGCAGCGATCACTGCCCCCCGGCCAACCCCCCCAGTTTATATACTGAGCATGATGTCACATGGTATGGAATAGCCCTTTGGTCAGTTTGGATCAAGTATTCTGGCTGTACCTCCTCCCAGTTTCTTGTGCACCTGGCAGAGCATGGGAAGCTGAAAAGTCCTTGACTAGCATAAGCAGTACTTAGCAACAACTAAAACATCAGTGTGTTATCAACATTCTTCTCATACTAAATCCAAACCACAGCACTATGCCAGCTACTAGGAAGAAAATTAACTCTATCCCAGCCAAAACCAGGACACACAGTTATTGCCTCTTCTTTCTGCTCCAGCTGCAGAGATGTCTATGAACTATATATATTCAGCCTTCTTACACACAGAGGAAAATGAAGTGAAAACCCAGGGAGGCCATGGAAGTTGGGGTGAGCTGTAGCTGCGACATGCCGTACCCACTCATTATGAGCCAGATCCTCACGTGTTCTTTGCTGTCTGACTCCAGGATTTGATCCTCAGAGGGCATATGTACCCTAAAGTTTCCAGAGCTTGTGCCTGCTGCCCTTTGCTCAGGTCTCAGTGTGTACAGGTATGCCACTGAAGGGCCAGAGCAGCAGGTTGGAACTGGTCTAGCTTTGCTTTCCTATCTCTTTACTGGTGCTGGCTCTTACAGCCTAAGGACAAGCATTAGCCAGCCTCTGCATAGACCATCTCCAGGGGAGGTGCGGGTTTGGGTTTTTTTAATCACAGCACAAAAAGCACTTTGATACCCAAGTTCTTTTACTATGCTGGAGTTGAGTACCAGTATACCATCACCTAGTCTTTTGCATAACACCACTGTAGGCTGGCTAGAGCAGTAAAAACACTAGAGAGGACAAAATGCCTGCAGTAAGTACATCTGAGCTTGGTGGTTGCCACTAGAGTTGCATTAGCCTTCTCTCTGTTCAGTAGACTATTCTTCTAAAACAGTTCTCACATGCACTTACTGTGGCACTGGTGATGGGCAAGAAAGCGGCAAGAATGACGGGCTGGCAGAAGGGTTAGTCACTGTGTCTGCTTCAATACCAGTGCTCATGCACACCCGCTCTGCTTTATAATACCAGCACAGAGGATGGGAGCACTGCAACAGCTGAAAATGTACCATGGCTGATAAAGCCTATGCCATATGGAAAGCATCTGCCATGTGAATTGCCAAGTCAGGGCCTAAGGTAAAGCAAGGGAGGAAAAGTATGTCACTGGCCTGATGGCCACGGTAAGGAAGTTGAGCATACGGTTTCTTGGGAGAAAGAACAGACACACACAAAAAAGAAAAAATACTGGTTACATTTCCCTGCTTAGTTTAGTACAATCAGAGCAATGGCTGGAGTTTAAAAAAAAAGTGTTTTAGCTGACAACTACTGCAGGGTCTCCCCTAGGTAGACAGCC